CACCAGAGACAGAGTGGGAAGCAGAACAGATGGATTTGCCAAAACACATTGCTAAGGGGAGCAACAGGTGAGACAGAGGTCTGCTGTGCCGTGTGTGGGTTAGCTCCCTGGCTGGGGATTGAACTCATGCTGCGGTGGCTGGAGACCACTTCATAGTGCTGAGACTTTAACCCCTGCACCACCAGGGAGACCCAACTTTATTTTTAATTTTTTGAGGACCCTACTGTTTTTTATAGTGGCTGTACCATTTCACATTCCCACTAACAGTATATAGGGTTTTCATTTCTCCATGTGCTTGCCAGTGCTTGGTATCTTCTGTTGGTTTGGGTTTTAGTTTTTTGTTGTTTTTTTTTTTTTTTTTTTGGTGGGACCCTCGCCGGTGGCTGGGAATCGAACTGGCACTGCAGAGGCTGCGGGCAGCCTTGCAACCCAGCACTCAACCACTGCGCCACCAGGGGAGGCCCGGGTTTTAGTTTTTTGATAGTACCATCCTAAAGAGTGTGAGGTGATACTTCGTGGTTTTGCTTTGCATTTCTTGAATATTTATTATCTTTCTGCTCTATATGAGGTCTTTGACACTCAGTGCGAATATTACACTTATAGCCTATTTCAATTTGTCTAGTCACACTGCAAGTGCTCTAATATAGTTGAACACTATATTACAAAATAAGACTCTCAAGGGGAAAGTTGGGGGCAGTAGGTAGAAGCACATGGAATTTAGGCATGTCCTGGTGAAGACAAAAAACATTAGTGTTGCCCCAGCTGCCTATGGAAGGCCTAGGCGTCCAGGGTGTCCCTGTCCTTGGTTGGGATGGATAGAAGAAAGGGACTGGCTTTGGATGCCTTGGGAAGTGTCTGTAGTTCATGGTTGTTCCTTTTGAATGGCTGGGGGGGCGGGGAGCAGGAGGAAACTGTGCCTCTGGCTTCTGCAAAGGCTATGTTTTGAAATCCCAACATGCCTACTGATCTTTGTCATCACACACAGGACAGGAGTCTGGTTTTAGCCTAAGGGTGAGGGGGAGGCAGGGCTTGGGGGATGCTACCAGCTTCCTTCCCAGCACTTTGCTGCGACCCTTCACTGCCCCCCAGCGTTCCCCTGGAGCCTGCCTAATCAGATCCAGGCCTGACCTCACCAGAGGTCCTGGACCAGGAGGAAAGCCCCCCTCTCCTCCCTTCTAGATCTGCTCTCAGGAGACCCCTCCCCTTGGGTGATTTATAGGAGTGTCTGGGACTGTTTCCTGCCTGTTTCTGCTGCCTTCCATCCTGACGATTGCTGGGCTCTCTCTGCCTCTGTCTTTCCACAAGGCCAGGCTGTCCCCAAGGTGCAGGGAGTGACTGGGAGATTCCTTCACAGATTGCTTGGGGATAAAGGTGCTTCTCCCTCCCTTCTCCACAACTGCTGCCATGCAAGTCTTTGTCCTCCCTGTCTCTCTCCAGCTGGCACACCAGAAGGCCGTTGCTCAACCATTGCCCATTACCCTCTCCCATCACAAAGTTTGAAGTGAGGTTCCCAAAACTGTCCTTACAAGACCACAGGTGTCAGCAGGATATGAAGCATCAATAGCCCCAAACCAGAGAACCACCTTCAAGTCCACTGGTCATTGATACAATTCCTCCAGCACTGCCACAAACTGTAATGGTATATATATCATTTCCCATTATCCACATCATCTGGCATACTTGTATAGGGCTCAGGGCATTTAGAAATCCAGCACTCCATCCCACACATCCATGCTTACTCAGGAACCCGCTTCCCAGAGAGACACGATGAGGGACTCTGTGTCTTGCTAGTGCAAGCCAGGACAAAAGTAAGCCAAACATACCCTACCCTGAGAGATTGGGAGAGACCTAACTGGCCCCAAGAAACTTTCTCCCCTGACTTCGTAAAGAAAAAATATTATTAGGCCTCCCTGGTGGTGCAAGGGTGCAAGACACAACCTATGAAGCAATCCGCAGCCACTGCAGCATGAGTTCGATTCCTGGCCAGCCAGGGAGCAGCCCACATGGCGCAGCAGATCTCTCTTGTCTCGCCCACTGCTCCCCTCAGCAGTGTATTTCAGTCAGTCTGCCTGTTCTGTTCCCCACTCTGTCTCTGGTGAATCCTCTTACCACCCCACACCTCTGGCCTGTACCCCAGCTCTTGTATGCATAAATAAATAAATCTTAAAAAAAGAAAAAAGGAAAAATATTATTGCCTGTGAACTAGGAGTGAGTGGAAGAGTCCAAGAGACGCCAGCTGAGTATGCTCACTCAAAGACTGTGAGTCTGGACCAGGCCTTGTTTGTGAAGACTGCAGGGGTCACAGCAGTGAGGGCCCTGCTGAGCACCTGTTTGCTCCTTCATTTGCAAGTGAAAGGACTGGCACTGAGCCACTCCTGGTAGGGTCACCCCTGTGACACCTGAGAATATGCAGCGCTGACCTTAAAGATTGGGTAGGAGTGTGAGGAAGGGAGGTCCACACCTTCCTAAAGAGGACCACGGGACACCTTCTGTGGACCTGCAACATGGTGCCAACTCCCAACCAGTGAGAAGAGACCTGTCCAACTTGTAGTCTACTCCAGGATTATCTGCCCGTGGAGAGTGAAAAACTTGCTGGAGAGCTATGGGACATCCTGACAGAGGGCAGAGGCATGGGACTTCTGTTTCAGTGCCAGTAGAGTCACCAACTCAGTTTTCCTTTCATAAAATGAAGGTGTTGGCGGCTTTAGATGCACCTTTAAAGGCTGTTACCCTGCCAGTGAAGTGTTTGATACAGAGGTGCAGGAGGCATTACTCAATGGAGGTGAAATGTGGAGCCCTGGGTGGGAGGGGGTGCAGCTGCCGTCAAGTGCCCCAGGGGACCTTAGGAGCCCCTGTTTTATGCTGCCTGAACAGTATCCCCCCCCACCCCGGCTCCTTACCCGGGACCCCTTTCTGCTCTAGCCCTCATCTCCAGCAGCATGCTGGGCCCAGTTTTGTCAGTGCTTAGTTCTGACAGGGGAATGAGGAGTCCTGATGGTGAGGCAGACTTTTCTACATCGCCAGCACGCAGATAAGAAGCCGCCCTTTCCCTGGTCTCTTTCCTCAGGCCAGCTACTAGCTCTGAGTACCTCCAGGGATCCCAGAATGGGGGCTAGAAACACAAAAGGATTCGGTTCCTTAATGAGGAGGCATCTGTAGTCAGTGGAGCCATTAGTCCCCGCCCCGGGTCCCTGGGGGCTAGGGAGGGGCATGCTGCGAGCTCCTTTCCAGCTGGAGTGAGGTGGGGGCTGGCAGCTCCCAGCTCCTGAATGGGCAGAGCCTCAGGGGGCACTGACAGCCAACCTAGGAGCCTGGGTACCCTCTCCACCCCCCTAGATATGCAGTCTATCTTGCCCTCCTGGAGGTTGAGTCCTGGAGGCAGAAGAGAGGCCCCAATAGCAACTTGTCACCCTCCCTCAAGCCCCTGGGCTGACCTGCAGGCCCTTGGACAAACAGTCTTTGGCCTGAGACCAAGCAGGCTGACCTCAGGGTGCTCCCTGGAGATCCTCTCACCCAGCCTGATGGGGACACCAGCTGCAGCACTTGCCCCCACCTTCTGCCCCAACGTACACCTAAGTGGGTGTGCATGATTGATTACCTCCTCAGCACCAGAATCACCAGCCCCTATTCACGGCCTGCCGCGGACACTCCGGCCACATCACAGAGATAGCCACCACCTCCTGGCACACACACTTGTGCAAGTCGGAGCACACACCCATCAGCAGCACTCCCAGGAGACCTTGAGAGAGGAGGAGGAGGAGGCAGGCCGGGGGATTTTTATGCATGTTTATATTTAATGAACCACATGCAAATGAGATGGAGAACGTGCCACAAAAGAGTCTGCCCCTAGAGACTCCGGGAGGAAGGGCACAAAGACTTGGGCTTTGGGGCTGCCCTGGAGTCCAGAACAGGCCGGAGGGTTGAGTGGGCCTGAGACAGGTGTGCCCACCCACTCCAGGGAGCCAAGAGCAGGAGCTGGGACTGGCTCCAGCATCCCTGCTGCTGTGGGGGGAGAGCCCCTTCTGGGAGGGGACACTGTCCCGGTTGACGGAGTGCGGAGGGGAGGGGCTGCTGCCTGGACAGATGGTGAGCCGCCTTCCCACACTTGAAGCAAAGTGGATTTTAATGAAATCTGCAGCCCTGGTGCTGAAACTGGGAACTCTAGCAGGAGGGGCCCCTTTCCCAGGCCTTACAGGGGCATGCGGGTGGGTAGGAACATAATCAGGACTAAAATGATCTGGGGGTGCCCCTCTGTTCTTGCCTCTGCAGACCAGAGTTCAAGGGGCTAGTTCAGATCCCAAAAGGTAGAGAGGGGATCCCTGAATATTTATGACACATTGAAATGTAGATTGGTGGGCCTGACAGTCTTCTGAGAGGCTTGTCACCTTGGATGGATACATCACGCTTGCTTTTGGGGGTCCATTGAGAAGCTGCAGAATACCTGGGGTTGGGAGTGATGAGGGTGGGCAAGGATAAGTCACTGGGCGTCAGTAACCAGGTTCTAATTCTGGACTAATCATGTTCCTTTTTCTGGGCCTCAGGAGCCTCTTCTGTAAAAGAGACCCATACTCAGGCCTTGTGTACTTTCGGGGGAGCTTATAAAAAGAAATCCAAAAGCAGCTGAATAAGTGGGAGTCAGGCTTTCTTTGACTGGCCTTTGTAGGTCAGCTTTGGGGGAGCACTGCCTCCCAAGGAAACCCCTGACTGCCCAAGATTTCCTTCTTAGAGGCTTGTCAGCCTAGAATGTCTCCAGATTTCTTAGTGTCCCCACCCAGCCTACCACCTACCAGTAAGGGGGAGATGGTTCCCAAGGATAAGAGGCATGGGAGGCATGGGTGTATCCCTAGACTGCTGCCCTGCATCTGCCAGCGCCAGAAAAGCTCCCTGCTCCACACTAGGTGGGCCCAGTAGTCAGGTCGAGGCCCTGTGACCCGCCACCCGTCCCTTCCCTCCACACTTCAGCCTGTGCCTCTCCTATACATCTCCCTTTCTTTTTCTAGCCATGTCGGACTTCCACGTGCACCCCCAGGCCACCGTGGGCGAGGAGGGAGGTGTGGCCCGCTTCCAGTGCCAAATCCATGGGCTTCCCAAACCCCTGATCACGTGGGAGAAGAACAGAGTCCCCGTTGACACGGACAATGAGAGGTGAGCCACGTGTGGAGAAGACAGAGGCTGCTGGTGTCTGGACTTAGGAGAAGGACCGCCTGCCCGAAGCCCTGGACATGGAGCCATGGGCCCCTGAGACAGTGGCGTTTCTGCAGCTGGCTTGAGACTGGGGGGCTTCTGGGGCTCACGGGATCCAGTCCCAGCCGTCGATGGTGTGTGTTCTTTGCCAAGGCTGGAATGACGGTGTCTACCTGCAAGGGTCCCAGTGTGTCTGTGATGATGACGGTGACAGTGGGACAGATCCCAGGGCCCATCTGTGATTCTGAGTGACCCTGTGGCCCGTGGTGCCAGTGCTGAACTCTCCCCTCCGCAGGTACACATTGCTGCCCAAGGGGGTCCTGCAGATCACAGGACTTCGGGCTGAGGACAGCGGTGTCTTCCACTGTGTGGCCTCGAACATTGCCAGTGTCCGGGTCAGCCACGGGGCCAGGCTCACTGTGTCAGGTGAGGGTCTTTTGCTTGGCCTGATTCCACCTCCAGGCCGCCTCCTGCCTTCTCCCCACCCTCAAAGCAATCCCCTTTTAACTGACTCCTGGAGACTCATCAGCCAAGTGTGTACAGAGCAGTCTAAACACACAGTGCTGTGCTCCTTGTGGTGAGGGCTCAGGGGAATGTGAGGCTCGCTCCCTGTTGCTGTTCCACCTGGGAAAGCCATGCTCTGTCTGTTCCAGAACTGTCCCATTGCCGGAGGCTCTGTGGGGCTGGGAGCAGAGGGATGGATGCAAGGACAGGCCTGTCCCCCCCACATCTCCTCTCAGCCCACAGGACCTGTTGTCTGGGCTGGAGCTTGTTGCTACCATGTCTTGGGTTGAGGGCAGGATGAGGTGGTAGGAGGGTCCTCAGGAGAAGAAATGGGGTTTCTTCCTCCCAGGCTCAGGCTCTGGGGCCTACAAGGAGCCCATGATCCTCGTGGGGCCTGAGAACCTCACCCTGACGGTGCACCAGACCGCGGTCCTGGAGTGTGTCGCCACGGGCAACCCGCGCCCCATTGTGTCCTGGAGCCGCCTGGGTGAGCCTCCTCCTTCAGCCCCTGCTTCTCCCAGCCCTGTCCCACCCCCTGGGAGGGCCTGCTCTCACCCAGCTCTGTGGGGACTTTGAATCCTGTTTGTTCTCCATGGGGGTTCGTTCTCTTGGAGGCCTGGGGAAGGGGGGGGTGTTTCCCTCTTCTTGGCAAGACCAGGGAGGTCCACCTCTCCACGGCATTCTCCCTCCCCCTGTGTGGATGGCTTAGCTCCCTGGGATACCTCTGCTAGCCTGGCAGTCCTGCAGAGATCCCCTCCTCCACACTGCCCTCATCCGGAGCGTGGGCCCCCAGAACCCCTCTCTCTGTAGCTCTCTGTGCCCCGGTCTCTTTCCCTTCCTGTGCATCCCTGCCCTCTATACCCTGGACATACTCCCGGGCTGTGCAATCCCAAACCCCTCCAAATCTCAGCCGGTGTCAAATCCTCACTCTGCACCCACCCCCGCCCCCGAGTCTCTAGCCTGGCCCCCTAAATCCCCAGCCTAAATCCCTAGGCAGCTGAAGGAGAGAAATGAAAGGGTGCAGATGGGCCCACATTGTCTGGGTGGAAAGGTCACCGGGGGAAGGAGAGTCTGGAGGCGATGGGGTGGGGTCCACATTCACAGGGAGACTGCACCACATTGTAGCAGCTGAGTGATGGGGAAGGAGGGGGCAGCAGGCGGGATAATGGAGTAGATTTCACCACTTCAGGGACTGAATGGAGAGCTGTCTCCTTGCATTCTGACTGTGCTAATCTGATCCTGGACCGGGGGTGGCGGGGAGGCCTGTCTCTGGGAGAGGCTGGGAAGAGTGGCCTCAGCATGAGGAGAAGCCCATAGGCACTGCAAGGACCATCTGGCCCAGCTTTTCCCGAAGCCTGATCTGCAGAGGGGGAGGAAAGACATGGGGGTCTAACAAGTTTGGGAAACAGCTCGCCTGGTCCTGTTGCTATGGGACTTCTCCAAACTAATGGATGCTGGAACGGATGGAGGGAGTGGAGAGGATCTTTAACCATGGACTGTTTTCACGAGAGACAAACTAGTTTGGGAAATGTCCACCTAACTAAACCCCTCACTTTCCTGACTGGGAAACTGAGGGGAAGGGATTAGAGGACCCCAGTGAGTCCACAACAATGCTAGGGCCAGGACCCTCGTCTATGCTGCTGCTGGTTGTAGAGTCAATGATTGGGGCTGTCTGGGAGATCAGTGATACATCCGGGATGTTCCTCTATGCCCACCTCCCTGAACTCCATTCTTGCCCTCCTCAGATGGCCGTCCCATCGGAGTGGAAGGCATCCAGGTGCTGGGCACCGGGAACCTTATCATCTCAGACGTGACTGTCCAGCATTCCGGAGTCTATGTCTGTGCCGCCAACAGACCTGGCACCCGGGTTCGGAGAACAGCGCAGGGCCGCCTGGTGGTGCAGGGTACAGACCTTCCCCTTGCAGAGGGAGGGAAGGGGCTTTTGCAGGGCCTCCTCCCCCTGTCCCATTCCTTACCCCATAACATCCATGGCCCACCCTGGGGGCCGTCCTCTTACCCAGTTCCTATTTTCACCCTAACCCTGTCCCCTGCCCCTCCCCTGCCACCCAGGGACAACTGTCTTCTTCTCCGCCCATGTATATGCTGACAGTGGGAGAACATTCTTTTAGTCCTGTGTGCCCCTCCAGGTGCCAGCATCCATGCTATCCACCCCCATACCCTCCATCCACCCCAGTCATTTCCACTTTTTTGTCTCAGCTGGTCTCCCCAGCCTGCATCTCTGACACATGTCCCTCCCCCCATGAGCTGTTTGCATTCACACGTGTGGCACTTCCACGCTCACACCTGCCTGCCAGCGCTCAGCGTGTGTCATTTTCACACTCTCACACCCCAGCGCCCGCCTCCACTCCCGCGTGTGTGAGGCAGTTCTGTCCATCCCCCTGCTCTGGGGGCTCAACTGTCCCCATAAACCTTACCTGCCTTGCCATTTGCAAGGGCCTCCTGTGCTTGTTCCCTCCTGGAGCGCTGGGCCAGGGTGGGAGGGGGGAACTAGCAACTTAAATGCCCGTTTGTTTAGCATTCCATGTGCCGTTCATCTGTCCAAATGAAAGTGATGGAGCATTTCATTTCTCGGGTCTTAATGGAGACTTGAAGCTGGGGATTGGAGGAGAGTGGAATTGAATGTAGGGGTGGAGGGGGCCTGTACTGAGGGCTCATCCATCTCCCCGTCATTACCTCCTTGGAGGTGCAGCCAAATCTATTAGCACATTTATTTATTTAACAATTTCCTGAACAGGGAGCTCAGCTTGATTGCTTTCGGATACAAATGTCAGTCTTTTAAACAGTCATTAAAATGGAGTCCTCTCTTGGGTCTGCCTCTCTGGGGCAGAGGGAGTGGGACCTGCCACTCCCTGGGGACCCTGCTAGTGTAAAGGGTGGGCCGCCCCCCCCCCCAAGGAATCTCCCAGGAGTGGATGAACCCACCCAGTCGCCTGCAGACCTTATGATTCCCCTTTCCTGGCAGCTGTGTCCTCCCTCTTCACTTGACCCTCACAACTCTCCCTGCTTCTCTGTGCCCACCTCACCCCCAGCCCCAGCAGAGTTTGTCCAGCACCCCCAGTCCATCTCCAGGCCAGCTGGGACCACAGCCATGTTCACCTGCCAAGCCCAGGGTGAGCCGCCCCCTCACGTCACGTGGTTGAAGAATGGCCAGGTGCTGGGGCCAGGAGGCCACGTAAGACTCAAGAATAACAACAGGCACGTGCATGAGTGTGAGTGTGTATGTCTGTGTGTGTGTGGTATACTGGGGTGAGACCGGGAAAAGAGGCAGGAAGGGGGGCTGGGGACAGATGGCTTGAGCAGGCAGTGTGCCTCCTAGCAGGGAGGAACACCAAATTGGGAGTCTGGACACTTGGGTTTGCATCCCAGGCCTGCCGCTAACTTGCTGAGAAACCTCAAATAAATCTCTTGGCTTCTGGAGGGGATTAAGTTTCTCCAGCTCTCAAATGGGGTGATTTGGCCAACCTCTAGGGCTACCCTGGGAGAGGAGAAGAGAATCTGAGGCTCTCCCTCCCTCTGTAGCACCCTGACCATTTCTGGAATTGGCCCTGAAGACGAGGCCATCTACCAATGTGTGGCCGAGAACAGTGCCGGCTCCTCACAGGCCAGTGCCAGGCTGACGGTGCTGTGGGCCGAGGGGTTGCCTGGACCCCCCCTGAATGTACAGGCAGTCTCTGTGTCATCCACTGAGGTCCGCGTGTCCTGGAACGAGCCCCTGGTCAACACCAAGGAGATCATCGGCTATGTCCTGCACATTAGGAAGGCTGCCGGTAGGTGGGGCCGGGAGGGCCAGGCTGTCTCTACAGCCCCTCCCTCTTGTTTGCTGCTTCTCCTCCCTTTCAATCCTGTATGTCTGTCTCCACCTTCCATTCCTTCTCCCTCCCCTGCATCCTGGCTGCCCTCATTTCACCAGTGCTGGTAGGGCTCCTCATGCCCCTTACTCTTCCTGACCAACCCGCTACCTCCCCAGACCCTCTGGAGCTGGAGTATCAGGAAGCAGTTAGCAAGAGCACCTTTCAGCACCTGGTGAGCGACCTTGAACCCTCCACTGTCTACAGCTTCTACATCAAGGCCTACACTCCAAGAGGGGCCAGCTCAGCCTCTACCCCTACAATTGCCAGCACCCTAGGAGAAGGTGAGGCCTGGATGGAGAGTACAGGGTATTAGAGCTTGTTCTGGTTAAGCATGGCACAGAGGGCCTGGCCTGAGGCTAAGTGGTGGCTGGGTCTAGAGGAAGGGGTGTCCTTTGCTAATTCACGTAAAGTTGTGGTTTGAGCCAGCTGAGGTTCTGGATCAGAGGCCAAAGAACTGTCAGGCTTGGGTGTTCTGGGTCACAGGAAGAAGGTGGGAAGGTAGAGAGTCAAGAGACACCTCACATCTTGGCCTCCTCTGTCTGCCTGCAGCCCCTGCCCCACCCCCACTGTCAGTGAGGGTCCTGGGCAGCTCCTCCCTGCAGCTGCTGTGGGAGCCCTGGCCCCGGCTGGCCCAGCATGAGGGTGGCTTCAAGCTGTTCTACCGCCCAGCAAGCAAGGCTTCCTTCACTGGCCCCATTCTGCTGCCTGGAACTGTCTCTTCCTACAACCTCAGCCAGCTCGGTGAGGTGGACACGGCGCTGGGCTTCAGAGGCTGGGCAGGGGTGTGGTGCATGGGGCCAGGAGGTGGCGTGCAGGAACCACCTCTATTTTCCTGCCAGAAAGGAATGGGTGGAACAGTCATTCAGCAACCATGCCTTTCCTCCAGACCCCACCGCAGTGTACGAGGTGAAGCTGCTTGCCTACAACCAGCATGGGGACGGCAATGCCACGGTCCGCTTTGTGTCTTTGAGGGGGGCATCTGAGAGGACAGGTATGGATTGGGTGTGTAGTGTGGGGCTAACAACTGACACCCTGGAAGGGAGGCCAAGAGCTGAGAGTAGAGGGGAACAGGCACTCAGAGAAGATAGGGGTGTGGCACATTGCAAAGAACCCTTCAGAACATAGGTATAGACCCCAGTTTGAATTGTTGCTGTGCAAGGTCCTAGCTGTGTGGCCTCAGGCAAGTAATTTGACCTCTCTGAGCTCCTTAATAGAACAACAGGGATACTAGCTATTTTACAGTTCTTGGCAAGAATGAAATGGTCCATGTAAAGTGTTTTTCCCAGGATCTGGCAAAAAGTTAGTGTTTGATAACAGGCAAAAAGAACCAGAAAGTTGGTGGAGGGGTTCTGTAGGCAGAAGCAAAGGTTATGTGCACTTGGGGTGGGAGCACCTGAGAGAGAAGGTGTTCCCAGAGAATGGGTGTCTGGGGTTGCTTCAGGCCGGGAAGGCTACAGCCCCCCACTTGCCCCTCTCCCCCACTCCCAGCCCTGAGCCCACCATGTGACTGCCGGAAGGAAGAAGCCACCAACCAGACATCCACCACAGGCATTGTCATTGGCATCCACATTGGGGTCACCTGCATCATCTTCTGTGTCCTCTTCCTCCTGTTTGGCCAAAGGGGCAGGTGAGTCCTGGGCCAGGAAGAGGGGGCTGGCTGGCATGGGTGGGAAGGCCTGGAGAAGGAGAGGTGGCAGGGAAAGGAATTTGGGGCTCACTGTATCTTTCCTTTTGTTCTCACTCCCTCCCATATCTCCCTTCAAATCATGGCTCATCCCCCAGGGTCCTCTTGTGTAAGGATGTAGAAAACCAGCTCTCCCCTCCTCAGGGCCCCCGGAGCCAGAGGGACCCTGGCTTTCTGGCACTGAATGGGGTGGGGCGGGGAGAACGGGGCCGAGATGAGAAACACGTGGACATGAAGGAGCTGGAGCAGTTGTTTCCCACTGCTGGGACAGCAGAGCAGCCAGAACCCAGATCTCACGCCAGATCCACGGTGAGTGCAAACCTCTTTGTTCAGGCTCTAGTCACCACCCAATCCTGCCCTCCCTTCGCCTCGGTCCAGACCTTGGTCGTTGGCCAAACACTAGACCTTCTCTAGGCAAACGTAGCTGGCGTGCTTCTCTCTGTGCCCCTGAAGCTGTCAGAGACCTGGAGACCCTGAACCCCAAGTGGGTCGGACCCAGATCCTGCCCATCCGGCTGGAGCCCGAGGACCTCTGGCCCTCATGCTGATACCTGTGTTATCCACCCTTTCCTCCGCAGGACCCTGTCCAGTGTGAGGAGACCCAGCTCTCGATGCTGCCAGTCCAGGGGATCGACCTTCTGGAGGAGATGACCTCGGAGGTCAGGGTCCCCTGTGCAGGCCCCGCGGCTGCCCTGCCACCCCAGGATATAGGTCCCAGCCTCCTCGTTGAAGGACAGGCCCCCCAGCTCTCCGCTGCACCAGCTGCCCAGCCAGATGACTCGGGACAGTAGCCAGTGTCTGGCTGGCATTGGAGGGGGGGCAGTACCCCATTCTCAGGTCAAAGGCAGGATTTCCCCTGTTATGTGAGTTTCAGATGGGGCCTTCCCAGTATTTCCTTCCCAACAACCCCTCAGGTTGTCAAGATCTAAAGACACCTTGTCAGGGTACCAACCCCCTTAAGGACCTCGGGGGGGGGGGCTACAAGAGCCCCTTCTTTAAAAACAAGCAAAACTTAAAATATTCCCCCCCCTCCAAAAAAGAGAGAGAGGAAGGTGAATTAGATTCCAAAAATATGCCCCTGTTATGACTGGGCCCCTGACACTGTCACCCTGCACCAACCTTGTTTTCTCAGGATGGATTTTGCTGTTTTGGCGCTCAGCACCTACCTCAGCCGGAATGAATGTCTTTGGGGGAGTGGGCCGTAGTCTCAGCCCCTACCCCACAGAGCCCTGATGCACTCCTACCTCAAGTCCCTTTGTGGGCACCTCCTCCTCCTCCCCACATTGTTGTCCAGAGGTTAAAAAAAAAAAAAAAAAAAAAAAAAAAGCACTTCCCCATTTCCAGGTGTGAAAGGAAATGTCTACCTCAAGGCTCACTGGCTCTTTGGGCCTGTGTTGTGTCACTGGACCTCCCTCCTGGCTCCTCTGCCTGCTGCCCGCAGCCTTCCCGTCAGTCTCCAGAGAGGAGGCCAGAGGCTAAGTCACCAAGGGTGGGCCTCTTGGGGCCTACAGAAATAAAGATGGAATTGGTCAAAGAAAATGACAAAAAGCCAAAAATGAGAGGAAACTGTTCCCTGGAGTATAATTGGTTGCTCCAAACCAGCCACCCCCTAGCATGCTGCCGGTGTTCGTCCAGTCTCTTGGACCCTCTCAGGCAACTCGTGCTGGCTGGGATCCCAACCCCCCTCTCTCCACCTGGGCTTGGGAGGGTGGGATGTTCCCCCCGAAGCCTGCCTCGGGTCCCGCCCAGACACAGAGCCCCTGGAGCAGGCTGGTCCCAGAATGTACTGTGTGTGTGATGTTGTGTGTGTGTGTGGGTGGGGGGATGGGTGGGGAGGCGGTCCAGCAGAGGTCCCCCCACCCTCTGTGCCATGGGACCCCCCCCAGCCTGACCCCTCTCCTGGACAGTGAATTGGGCACTGTCGTAGATATGATCGGAAGCTATTTTTATACAAGGTTTGTTTAGGGGTTTATGTTCTTGTGATTTCTTGTTTCTCTTTTCTGTTGTGTTGTCCTTTGAAATACTTAGTTAAGAGGGAAAAAAAAAAAACCAAGGAAACAAATACCTATTTTTGGTTATACTCAGAAACATTTTTTTAAATAGCAGAAAGAAAACTTTTTTTTAAAGGAAAAAAAGTGTATTCCTTAAGTATGAGATTAGAACATAAATTCCCTGACCCCCAACCCTCTAGGGACTCCCCGCCTCAAAATTTAGTTAATTAGTTGAAAAGTAGAATGTGTGGTGTTTTCCTAGAAAGTCGTGTCCATGTGGACCCGGGGGAGGGCGGCCTGCCCTTCTCTCAAATGATGGGCCCACGCCAAGGGCTCGTCAAAGCTCCTAGGCCGTGCCCCCTCTGTCCCTGCAGCAGCTTCTCTGCACCCTCTTCATCCTGGAACCCCCTCTCCGCTGAGAAGGTGGGTCTGGGGGAGGTGGGGTGGGGGCCCCCTGGCCTGACATGGCCTGGCTTTTGTCACACTCTACTCATTTTGACTGAATAAAAGTCTTGTTGCCAAAGTGAACCTCAAGTTTCTCGGAAATTGTGTCAGGTCCTGGGGGGGGGGGGGTGGGAATGCTGGGTTTGTAGCGGCGGCTAGGGTGGCGGGCTCTCCCAGGGTCAGAGCCCGCATGAGCCCTGTGTACCACCTACGGGAGCCACGTGGGCCAGGTCCTCTCCACAGATCGGGAGCTTCTGGGGTGCTCTCAACCTCCCCGGGAGGTCATCCTCCTCCCCACTGTGCGGATAATGAAGCTGAGAAAGGACAAGCGAGATGAAGGAAATGCCCAAAACCTCACAGCCAGTTATGGCAGCATCAGAGCTTGCATCCAGGCCAGCCTGATGGTTCCAGGGTCTCATTTCAACCGTTGCTCTGTGCCTCCTTAGCTAGCACTAGTGAGGGATCCGAGGCCAGAACGTCTGCTCTGTGATGACAGCCTACTGGTGCTGAGCCGGGTGCTGGGCAGCTGCGTACTGTTCATGCCAATGAGGAGGGACTATTTTCTTCCACAGCCTAAAGCTAAGGAAACTGGAACTCTGACTCGTGACTTTTCCCAGACCACACACCCAGAACCCCTGGCCAGGCCCACTCATTCCTCCCTGTCCTCTCCTCAATCCAGATTCCTGACTGGAGCTGCCAAGGCTTGGGCTAGGCCAAGAAAAACTTGACTTAAAGAGCTGTGCTGACAAAGATCTGGAGGGCTCAGTGGGCCTCAAGCTCAGTGAGCGACAACACGGTACTGCAATTATTAGGAAGCCAATGTCCCTTCTGCTGCTAAAATGGAAAGCCAGGGTAGCTCTCTAGGAGTACAGGGCAAAGCTCTATACCCATGCAGCAGGACCATGGGTTCCCTGGCTGTGGCTAGGGGCGTGAGGGGATCTCTCTGGGGGTGCTCCACTCTCCCTGCTGTTTCACCCAGGGTAGCTCCACTTGTATTTGACTTATATATCAGACTCTTCATGAGATCTCATTTGTACACAGGATTATGCTCCTGAAAGAATGTTTGAGACCCCCTGGGCAGCCTCTTGAGGAAGAGACCTATGGGGTGATTGGGTTGAGGGCAGCTTGGAAATGGCGATGGTGCTGTGGATGTTGAGCTGGTGCTGCAGCCCAGAGAAGGAGAAGCCTGAGGCTGCCCATCCTGAGTCTCTGGGGCAAGTGGTTGAATCAGCCCCAATACAGGAATTCTTCAACAACTCTAGTCATGCCAAGGCTGCCTGGGGGAGGTAGCGGGTGTGTCATCTGTTCAAACAGACCCTATAAAGGGACAGGAAAGTAGACTAGGTCATCTCCAGTGCCCCACCCCCTTGCAAGACTCCATGATGCTAGTATCACCGCAGGGAGGTGTTGGGAAATGTTTAGAAACCACCGAAGATGATGCATGTAGATGTATGTAAATTGTATGCAGATTACACGCAAATATGGGCAGGGCTTGTTTCTAACAAGGCCCTAAGCTGAAATAACATAGAGGGAGAAGCAGGTTCCCACATCCTCTGTGGGTCTCATTCCCATTATTTTTTTTTTTTTAAAGATTTATTTATTTATACAAGCACTGGGTGCAGTCAGAAGCGCGGGAGGGTGAGAGAATTCACCAGAGCCAGAGCGGGGAGCAGAGCAGGCAAAAGGACCGAAGTACACTGCTGAGGGGAGCAGCGGGCGGCAGGAGAGGTCTGCACGCCATGCGGGACCCTCTTCCGGTGTCCGGGGAGCAGCCGGGGATTGAACTGGCGCTGCAGAGGCTGCGGGCAGCTTCGCAACCCAGCGCTCAACCGCTGCGCCACCGGGGAGGCCCTCATTCCCATTATTACTGAAGATCGGTCTTGGGTTCCAGTGCTGAAGCTACAGGATGGGAGCACCAGGCCCCTGTGAACTCTGGAAAGGAGTTTCTCTGCTGGCTCCCTCTCCTCATGCATTGAAGGGTGAGCATTGATGGGTGCAAGCCTGAGGTCCCCACCCAAACAGAAGGTAGACCTCAGGATGACAGAGCTGAGACAGAACCCTTCATGAGATGGAAATGGCCGCTGAGGTCTTCTGAGGAGCATGAGAACCCAAAGGAGGGAAGAGGGAGAAGAATAGGGTGGGGCAGGGTGAACACAGAGGGCAGGTGGGCTATTACCTGAGACTGGGGCTGGGCCAGGGAGGGGGTCACGCTGTCTGTGACACAGGTGAATCTGGGTTGGGAATAGGAGAAGGCAGTAGAGGCAAGCAAGGGCCCTGTTGCGAGCTCTAGGTGGAGACTGCAGTCAGAGTGGAAGCACTGAGCCATGCCCCTCCCTCTAAGAGGTGTTATAGGGACTGGCTGGCACCAGTGGCTCCCCAGCGCCACCCTCACCAGTCACCTAGAGGACTGAGAGTGGAATAGGGCCCAGGTGACTGAGAAGAAGGGCTGGTCCTTGTTCCTGGACTCAAGAGTGTGCATGCTGGAGCACCCAAGGACTCGGGGCCCTGCTGATCACCCCATGCCATGGACCCACCGCCACAATGCAGGGCTAGCCTGGTTGTCACTCCAAGATGCCCACAGCTTGGGCCTGCTCTTCTTTTCCCACCTCCTCCACCTTTCCTCTTTCCTCTCCTCTTTCTCCAGACCACTCACCAGCCCAACTCTGAGGCTCCTTCTCTGAAGGCACATGGTATCCCATGCAGTTCAGGCCTGACTTTTACCTCCTGACCTCATCAGCTGGCTCCCCAATACCTGCTTAGTATGGAGTGATTCATGCAGGAATAGGAGGTCTAGCTGGAATGCTGGGGACACTCACAGAGCCACAAAGAAGAAATCTTTTAATCCGTTCCTTGACTAGAATGGTACTGTCTTGGGTTAAGCACTGGGGCAGTTTTGTGCCAGGGAGCTGATCCACATGGCGAAGCAAACCTCTTCTGTCTTTCCTACTGCTCCCCTCGGCAGTTTATTTTAGTGGATCAGCCTGTTCTGCTCCCCACTCTGTCTCTGGTGAACCCTCTCACCCCTGCTCCTCTGGCCTACACCCCAGTTCTTGTATGCATAACTAAATAAAAAGAAATCTTTAAAAAATAGATAAAAAGTGGAAGCAACCCAAATGTTCATCAGCTGATGAATGGATAAATCATGTAGTATTTAATTTAGCAACAAAATGAAATTTGAAAATATTATGCTAATTGAAAGACGCCAGCGCAAAGGACCATGTAGCATATGATTCCATTTATGTGAAATGTCCAGAATAGAAAACTCTATAAAGCAGAAAGCAGACTAGTGGTTGCCCAGGAGTGAGAAGTCAGGGAAGTGAGAAGCAGCGGCTAGTGGGTGATGAAAGTTTTTTAAATTTGGGCCTCCCTGCTGAAGCACCGTGAAGCTATCTGCAGCCTCTGCAGTATGAGTTTGATCCCCAGCAAGGGAGCTACCCACATGGCGCAGCAGACCTCTCCTGACTCACCTGCTGCTCCTCTCAGCAGTGTATTTCAGTCAATCCACCTGTTCTGTTCCCCACTCTGTCTCTGGTGAATCTTCTCACCCCCCACACCTCTGGCCTACACCCCAGTTCTTGTACGCATAAATAAATAAATCTTTTTTAAAAAGTTTTAAATTGGGCTTCCCCGGTGGCGCAGCGGTTGAGCGCGGGGTTGCGAAGCTGCCCGCAGCCTCTGCAGTGCCGGTTCGATCCCCGGCTGCTCCCCGGCCACCAGAGGAGGGTCCCACATGGTGCGCAGACCTCTCCTGCCGCCCGCTGCTCCCCTCAGCAGTGTACTGCGGTCCTTCTGCCTGTTCTGCATCCTGCTCTGACTCTGGTGAATTCTCTCACCCTCCCGCGCTTCTGACTGTACCCAGTGCTTGTATGAATAAATAAATAAATAAATCTTAAAAAAAATTTTGGAAAAAAAAAGTGTATCTTTAAAAAAAAAAAAAGTTTTAAATTTGATGGTGGTGATGATTGCATATCTCTGTGAGTACGCTGAAAACCACTGAATTGCATACTTGAATGGATGAATTACATCTTGATAAAGCTGTCATTTTTTTAAAAGTTGCTGAGAAGACTTAATGAATTCAGAACACATGAAGTTTGAAGCTTAAGTGTTCAAACGATCCCATGTTATAGGCAGAGAAACTGGGGCGGGCAGGGCAAAGTGACCTACAGTGGAGAGGCCCTGGTGGCAGCGTGAAGAAGAAAGTGAGCTTGAAGGAGATCTCTGCCTGGCTAAGGTGGAGAGGAGGGACCCTCATGCCTAGCATCCAGCCTGGCAGCTGTGTGCCCCTGCGCCGACTGTGGCTGGAGGGGTTTGCTGCCACCCTGTGGAGGCAACAAGGAAGGCGGCCTCTCTACCCACTTCTAGCAGTCAGACGTGCTCCGCGGAAATAAAGGCACAGAACCAGATCGCAGGGAGCTGACAGCGCTGACTTTAGATAAATACAACTGTAATCTCCCCAAATAGTTCCTTGGATGGGTACCAGCAACAAGCTGTTGAAACAGAAGATGTGATTCACAGAAATCCAAGATTAAGGAAGGCTGGAAGAAGTGTAGAAAATGGGGAAAGGCATCTAAAACAGGAGGTGCAGAGCCAGCAGAGGCTTAGGTGGGAAAGTGCATGGCCGTGTCACCATGCAGCCAGGAGGCTATCGCTGCATGGAGCCTGGCATTTCATAGATAAATGTGTATGTATAAATAAATGGATATGGATATGGATAATGTATATGGATGAATGATTACTAGATTCGCAGAGCCCAGCATTTTGCAGTGCTGATGTGTCTGGGGAAACTATTACATGGTTTTCTGGGTGGAAATAGAACCTGCAAGAGGGTCAAATAGCCCAAAACCTCCTCGGGAAGGAAAAGGGCCTCCTGGAGTCCTCTGACACCGTGTCAGGACTACTTGTGACGTTTTATTTTGTTAAAGATTTATTTATTCATGTGTACAAGAGCTGGGCTACAGGCCAGAGGTGGTGGTGGTGGTGGGAGAGGATTCACCAGAGACAGAGCGGGGAACAGAACAGGCAGACTGACTGAAATACACTGCTGAGGGGAGCAGCGGGTGAGACAGGAGAGGTC